ATTAAAATTATACTCCTGACTGTACAAAATAATATAAAAATTCTGTAAAAAATAAGTGTCCTAAAGCATGGGAAAAGAAAATGTCTTCTTACATCATTTTAACCCCCGGTTTCTACGATATAGATCTATGTTGTGCGTGGGCAGTGTTGTAGTCAATGGTTTATTTAACAAGGAAAAAAAATAGATTCAAGGTTGTCTATTCCATGGGTGTCCTGTCCCATATCTGATCTAAACGATCAGATATGGGTTTTGGAATTACCAAAGACTATTGTATTTATTACTTCAGAATTAGAATTATTTATTATTGTAAGTACCAGGAAGTCATTAGGAATTTGCTTTGGTTCAAGGTGAAAACAAGTTATTAGTAATATAGTAAAATAGTAAATTACAATATTACTTTTAAAGCAAAGGAAGGTTTCTCACCCATCATCTGTACTTCTTAGCAGGTTTTCCCGACGTACAATAACACAATAAACAAAAAACAAAAACAATAATTGTTTATTAGTTAGTATCAGGATTAATCTCCAACGCGCGGTCTGAGAATTTATTCCCTGAAGAAGTCCTTTGGATTGAGGATGAAACGTCGGAAAAACCTGCTAAGAAGTACAGATGATGGGTGAGAAACCTTCCTTTGCTTTGACTAATCCCTGTACGACTGAGGGCTTACACAATATTACTTTTACTAAATTACTAATAGTACTTACACTATATACAAGAGCACACTAAGTATCCACAATAGACATTTACTCGTGCAGAAAAGTGACAAAGTGTAAAGTAAAGCACCACAGAGACTATATAAGTATTCTTTATTTGATTCCATGTATGCAGAAACATAGAAACAGCATGTAGAGAAAAATTCAATACTGACCAAAGGAAAGTCCTCTAAGAAAGCGCAACTTTGTACAATGGAATGAAACACAGACAAACACCACCAGGTTTTTTTACTCTAATGAACAGCTCTAAGAATCCTCATTCAAATGGGCATTATTGCTTCAGAAAATTGCATTTACGACGTCTTTGTTCGTGAAATCAAACTCATGTATACTGTAAATGTGACCAGGGTGGGAAAGATTCAAGCTGCTGTATTGAAAATATCATGCAGGTTTGATGTATATTTAAAGTTTGACCCGGCTCCACAAACTCAGGTTACTTTAGCTTAGCATAACGTTTAGTATATAAAAGTAGCCCTCTTTCCCAGTGTTTTGTACAAGGGAGAAAACTGAAGCTTGTCCAGCGATTCACGACTATTTGAATGTAAAAATGTGTCTCCCTTTTGTACTGTTTTAGTCTATGAGACGTAATGCCTTTGAACACAACACAAACATATTTAACATAACTTGGCTGATAATTCTCTGGAAAAGTGAAAAATGTATGCGCAATCAATCCAAAGTAGTTACTCATTCATTCTGGATGTGCTTTGTGGCAGAAAATATGAATGAATCTATCCTAAAATGTGCTAAAGTCACTCAAAAGTCAAAAAGTGATGGAGGATATAAGGTGTAGAAGTGGCCTATGACCCATACAGACATTTGCTTTATGCTAAGCTAAAGTACGCTAAAGTACGCTAAAGGAGCTAGCTGTAGCAGTTTTTTGTACCGCCAAAGATGATGCATGCTGCTTAGAAAATGGATCCTATAGAACTAAGACTAAAAAATAAACAATGAAATATAAATAATATTAGACAAAAATGCATTATAGATTAAATACATTATGATGAGGATAAGACAAAAACCCACAAAAAAATACATAAATAATTCAATTAATAAATAATAATAGCGCTTGTGCTTCACAGCAAGAAGGTCCTGGTTTCAATTCCAGCTCCAGGCCTTTCTGTGTGGAGTTTGCATGCTCTCCCCATGTCTGTGTGGATTTTCCTCCAGGTGCTCCGGTTTCCCGAATTTGGAGAGAATGGACTACTAGTACAGCAAGAATTTTAAAGCGCTTTGTATGAAATGCACTATGTAAATAATGATTACTTACTCAATAATAATACAGTATGTTTGAAACAGTTGGACATAGCTGTTTAACCTTTTAACATATTATTGGCCTGGAAGTCTCAAAAGCAGACTTTAGTAATAATAATAATTTAAAGAAAATAATAATTATAAAAATAATAACAATACATATAAAAATACATACATAAAAATAAATATATAAGAAATAATAAATGAAATTTATAAAATAAAAACAAATTCAATACTGCTTTCATCCACTAAAAAACAAAAAAATGTACAAAAAATGTTAACAATAATATTAGCAAAAGCTCATATTTCTCATGTCAAAATCACACAGCGGCTGCGTTTGAATGACAGAAGCAAAAGGTTACTGGCCTCATGGTGCGTGTCTAAGTGACAGGCCTATATACATATAAATACATACATACTTTATCCCTTATCGTCCTCGTATAGGAAACAAGTGTCTGAGCGTCTGGAAAATAAATAAAACAGGGAATATAATGTAATCTTTTAAAAAACGAATTGCTGGAGATTTTAGTGCATTCATAACGAGCTCTCACACTCTGAAGGCAACACATTAGAAGCATGGCTATTTTGTTTCGTCTGCTGCTTTTGACGAGAAAATCCCCCCTCCCCCTCCCTCCTCCCCCATGCCATTGTCCAGCTTTGTACAAAAAACACATAAGTTACAAGCGCATGAGATCAAAGCCGGGTTGAATATGTGGCGCTGTTTCCACCAACCCTACCTTGCTCTGCTCTGCTCTAGCATTTCCACCGGCCCTGTTTAAAACCCTCTCACTATCCTTTTGGGTCGCTCTGACTCATATTTAATAACAAGCTAGGGTATAAATGATCCAGGGCTGGTCAAGTTTTGGAAAGTCATCAAAATCCAATTGGAAATAAAACAATTTCTGAGATGTTTTTGTCTACTTTTCTATCACATTGGTGAGTCATTTTAGGGAAACCCAAGGGTTTTAACCAGTATCAAGTGAATTCAATTACTTGTTTCTTCTAACCAGACAATTTGGCATAAGAAGAAGGGCTACCAACGAATGTCCGCGGATACTGGTTTGTTGTGTGTAGTTTGCTCGGATACTAAAGTAGAGTAGAGTAGAGATGAGCAGAGTAGAGGAGAGGAGAGTGGAATAGATAGTAGAGAAGAGAAAAGTAGAGATGAAAAGAGTTGAGTAGATGTTAGTAGAGCAGAGTCAATAAGGGGTGGTGGAAACAGGGCTTCTGTTTCAATGTTTTGCATTTGGCCTCGCTGTACATTCTGAACCAATTATTTAAGAAAAGCCAAGATGCTAGAGGTGTAAAAACAGGATGCAGTTATAGTTTCAAATGATTCTCACAATGAACAATAGAGTCATGGTTCCATATATGCAACAACTGACAAAAAAACATTAGAAAGGCTATATGAGAAGTACATTTACAAATCATCGCCATAGCTTTTTTGTTTTTTTTACATTTTTGTCCACAACTTTTTCAAATGGGCTTGTAAAATAATGAGTCATTCATGGGCTAAACCTATGTTTCGTGAGAGAAACTGTTAAATTAGTTAAATATACAAATTCAAGGCAAACATGGCGACATTTCTCCGTGTTACACATGCATGAAATGAACGGTTGCTAGAAAATTCTGTACAGAATGGCGACGAGCGCTTGGCACCGGCTTGGATTCTCTCTGAGTGCGTATAACAGGTCCTTTCACAATAATGCAAAGAAATAACTTGGACGATTATGCTTAATCGACAAGTATCGGTAGTTTTTACATCGTTTTGTTGGTGAATGTGACTTCCAGGCAGAAGAATGACGACATCACAATAGGGATTCATTTTTTGTCCGCTGGGCGAAAAGTCGTTTTTAACATCAAGTAACATAAACAATATTATTTGAAAAGAAGAAGACGACACATGTGATAATCTATGTATTCCTATTGAATAAGTAGATAAAAAGTCAGTAAATCTTGGATACATTCTGAGTCTTCGTTGTGTGACGTCATCGGCGCCTCCACCTTCCACCCACCAACCATTCATACCCACAGGTCTCCCATCACAGTACTAACCAGGCCCTGCCCTGCTTAGCTTCAGAGATCTCGCAGGATCAAGTTGGCACATGCAGGTAGCACATTTGAGCTTCTATCTACTAAATCTAACTTCAGATTCTTGAATTAGATGGACTGACGGAGAAAACCAGAGAGAGACCAGAGAGAGACCAGAGGAGAGAGGCCAGAGTGAGAGACCAGAGAGACCAGAGGAGAGAGGCCAGAGTGAGAGACCAGAGAGACCAGAGGAGAGAGGCCAGAGTGAGAGACCAGAGAGACCAGAGGAGAGAGGCCAGAGTGAGAGACCAGAGTGACCAGAGAGAAACCAGAGGAGAGAGAGAGCAGAGAGAGATCAGAGAGAGAGAGAGAGAGAGAGAGAGAGAGAGAGAGAGAGAGCAGAGAGAGATCAGAGAGAGAGAGAGAGCAGAGAGGAGAGAGAGAGACCAGAGAGTGACCAGAGCGAAACCAGGAGAGAGAGTAGAGTGAGAGAACAGAGATAGACCATGGAGAAAAATTAGAGAGAGAGACAAGAGAGAGGCCATAGAGAACAGAGAGAGACCAAATGTAAAAAGAGTTTGCCTTAAAACTCGAAGAGGATTTTTGAATGTGGAGCCAAATGTATGCACATTTTAAAAGGTAGAAACCTCAGAGTCACCAAGTACCAATCAGGAGTGGCAATGGTCTGTCCCCACTCGCACTACTCACTAGCTAAAGCCAAAAGCGACTTTGAGTGTCCTGAAAAGCGCTAAATAAAACCAATGCATTATTAGTAATAAGTATAAATATGTTGCTACCATAGCCACCAAACGGTGGTGATAGGAGTCAGGCAGTAATTCTTTTCACATACTCTCTCCTGATTGGTGCAACCTATCATTATACAGCAATACTTCTGAAATGTCCCCACTGTGGGATGAATAAAGGATCTCTTCATTGTAATCTACTTGTCATTGTGCCTCCAAATAACATGAAAATGATTGAAACCTGTCATACGCACTTTTACTTTTACACTGCTCCTTTGATGACGGGCTCTCGGTTCAAATAGGTGGCCCAGTAAACCAGGTTAAATGTTCCAAACAGGACAGGGAACACTATCCGGGACATCTTGTCGATCTTGCTGACGCTGTTGTAAGTCTTTTTGGGGTCCGGGGCCTTGGACTCGGTGGGCTTGAGCTGGACCGCGGTGCTGTTGGAGATGGTGGAGATGGACGGGTCCTTGGTCAGGTTGGCGGTGTAGTTAACACCGGTGGAACAGGTGTTGTTGGGTTTCTTGGACAAAGCCAGGTGATCCTTTTTCTGTGGAGGAACAATGGTCATGTTTGGTGAGAATTGAGATCAGAGAATGGTCAGAGAGAGAGAGAGAGGAGAGAGGGAGAGAGTCACTGGAGACAGATCAGAGACAAACCAGAGAGAGTCCAAATAGTGACCAGAGAGAGACTGGAGAGAGACTGGAGAGCAACCAGAGTAAGAGACAAGCAAGAGACCAGAAAGAGACCAGAGAGTGACAAGAAAGAGACCAGAGAGTGACCAGAGAGAGAAACCAGAGGAAGAGACCAAATGTTGAAAGGTAATTATGTCTTTTTTAAGTTTAAGACTTGAAAGGTTCCTCTAATACCACAAAAGTGTAAATAAGCTAGTACTGCTTAATTACCTGACATGTTTTGGTCGAAACTTCCATCATTCTCGTTTTTAATAGGCCTCTTTTTATGTGTTGCATATAATTGAAATAATTGAATCTGCTGTTTTTCGTTCTAGACGTGCAGTTTAGAAGTTTTGTGTAAATAAAATAAAATGGTGATGGTAGGTGTCGGGAGACATCCTGAACTGATGCCAGAACCACCTCAACTGGATCCTCTAAATTATTTGAATTTTTTATTGTGTTGTTTGTTTTCTGTTGTTTTATTTCATTATTTATTGTTTATCTTGTGTTTCCTTGGTTTTATGTGTCAAATGTCTATCTTTTTCTGCTGAAAAGTGACTTTGTGTTTGATTCCATGTTCTCAGCGTCAAGCTTCAGGCCCTTTCAGATTCAGTTTATTTTCCATTTGCAGTAAGACCACATTGGAATAACTGTGAGAGACTAGCTTCTTCTACGCCGCCATGTCTCGGCGCCATGTCTCGGCGCCATGTCTCGGCTCCATACTTGTACCTTGGGCTGCTGTGCCTCCATGGCCTTCTTGCCGTCCCAGGCCCAGCTCCTCTTGGTGAAGTAGTTGACGGTGGCAAACTCAATGAGCGCAGAGAAGACGAAGGCGTAGCAAACGGCAATGAACCAGTCCATGGCGGTCGCGTAGGCCACTTTGGGAAGAGAGTTCCTCGCGCTGATGCTCAGGGTGGTCATGGTCAGCACAGTGGTCACACCTACACACAGGGGGAAGTAGGTCAGAGATCCTCCACTCTCTGAGATTAAAGCCCAACACATTACAGCGCATTAGAACATCAGGATATACAGTACATGTGCGCATTAGCATTTGCGACCTCTCGCTCTGCTCACCGCGGTTTCTAGGAACATCAGGCACATTCAGAGAATCCCTTTGGTTCCTTTGGTTGTGCTACTGAATGTTCCTTTCGTAACTTGTTTTTAGAACATCCTAAAATAAACAGATTATATTATAATAATATATATATATAATATTCCCACCTCTGCACCTTCTCCACCGACTCCCACTGATGACTGCTGTCGTTGTGTCCTTGGGCAAGACACTTAACCCCACTTTGCCCAAATCCCCCACTGAAAGATCAAGGCTATGCTCACACTCAGAGAGCAGCCGTCCTCCTGTGGACTCACCACCTGCAGAGGGTCAGTGAGGGGCTGGTGCTATGAGACTTGGGTGGCATCTCTGACTGCCACCCCCCTGACCCAGAAATGGATTAAAGGGTAGAAAATGGATGGATGGATATTATAATAATACAATCATGTGTGTCAGAATGTGCAATATGGGGCCACATCTGTCCACTGTCACTTTAGTCCAGAGCCTCATGCTGCTAACATGTACAGTAGTATCACATGCTGCTAACATGTACAGTAGTATGACATGCTGCTGACATGTACAGTAGTATGACATGCTGCTGACATGTACAGTAGTATGACATGCTGCTAACATGTACAGTAGTATCACATGCTGCTAACATGTACAGTAGTATCACATGCTGCTAACATGTACAGTAGTATCACATGCTGCTGACATGTACAGTAGTATCACATGCTGCTAACATGTACAGTAGTATGACATGCTGCTGACATGTACAGTAGTATCACATGATGCTGACATGTACAGTAGTATGACATGCTGCTGACATGTACAGTAGTATCACATGCTGCTAACATGTACAGTAGTATCACATGATGCTGACATGTACAGTAGTATCACATGCTGCTAACATGTACAGTAGTATCACATGATGCTAACATGTACAGTAGTATCACATGATGCTGACATGTACAGTAGTATCACATGCTGCTAACATGTACAGTAGTATCACATGATGCTAACATGTACAGTAGTATCACATGCTGCTAACATGTACAGTAGTATGACATGCTGCTAACATGTACAGTAGTATCACATGCTGCTGACATGTACAGTAGTATCACATGCTGCTAACATGTACAGTAGTATCACATGCTGCTGACATGTGCAGTAGTATCACATGATGCTAACATGTACAGTAGTATCACATGATGCTAACATGTACAGTAGTATCACATGCTGCTAACATGTACAGTAGTATCACATGCTGCTAACATGTACAGTAGTATCACATGCTGCTAACATGTACAGTAGTATCACATGATGCTAACATGTACAGTAGTATCACATGCTGCTAACATGTACAGTAGTATCACATGCTGCTAACATGTACAGTAGTATCACATGATGCTAACATGTACAGTAGTATGACATGCTGCTAACATGTACAGTAGTATCACATGCTGCTAACATGTACAGTAGTATCACATGATGCTGACATGTACAGTAGTATCACATGATGCTGACATGTACAGTAGTATCACATGATGCTAACATGTACAGTAGTATCACATGCTGCTAACATTTACATTAGTAACTCAATATTCTTGCACTAGAGCAGAGGTTTTAAACATGTGGCACGTGGGCAATTTTCTGCCTGCGAAAAGGTATTTTGTGACCCCCTAGAGGACATCAAACTTTAATGTCAGTGCAGCCCCCACTGAGACTCTCTGCAAAAATGTTATACATCATTTTAAAGCTGATTTTTTCAAGAAAACAACCACAGCACTTACATTGAACCCTGAATGCAACAAGCAATAATCAAAGTAAATATTATTAAAACCAGTCCACAACAAAACCTCAATGCTTTCATCACGTTTTGCTTCAATCCCAGCAGCGGGACTCAATAAAAGTGATTATTTGATCGAAATACCTTCATGATGATAAAGCATCACAAACAATGAACAAAAAGTAACCTAAAACTATTCACAAGATTCTTGGTTTCTCATTTTATGTTTCTGTTTCAGTTATTGTTAAAGAAGAAGCACAGTTTGAAATGTAGTATTTTATTACATTTTTCCAGGATTTAAACTGCGTGTGCAAAGTGAAATAGTAAAACTGTTGTATAATATCAACGTTTCTAAGACTGATATCTGGTGATTCTACATTACATACAATTCAAATAACAGACCTGAGTATAATTCTACTCAGTTATAATAATGAACGGGGAAACTGACCGAAGACAGTGCGTGCCGGGACGGACTCGCGGTTGAGCCAGAATGACACCTGCGACAAGATGACGGTCATGAAGCACGGCATGTAGGTCTGGATCACGAAGTATCCAATCTTCCTCTTCAGGTAGAAGTGAGCCATCATCACCGTGTACTGCCCTGGACACACACACACACACAAAATAAATGTCCATTTTAGTGCTGTCATCAATGTGATCAGAAACATTTTTCAATTTCAATGTATAATTGCAGTGTTCACTACTCAGCCACTCACGGTGGTTTAGGGGTTTAGATAGTGAGAGTTCTATCCACTATAGCACTTTTGCTTCTCAGCAAGAAGGTCCTGGGTTCAAATCCTGGTCGGACAAGGGCCTTTCTAAGTGGAGTTTGCACGGTCTCCCTGTGTCTGTGTAGGTTTTCTCCAGGTGCTACGGTTTCCCCTACAAGTAAAAAAGGTCTGGCCTCCTGTATGGTGACCTCGCTCCCATCTCTGTGTGGAGTGACAGGCAAATGTCCACAATTATAAGGCGCTTTGTGACTCTGCTATGTGAAAGGCGCTATACAAAATTTAAGATGACTTACTTACTTACTCACTACATGAAAGTATTTAATAAAGATTTCGCCAACATTGATGGACATTGGTCATTCTCCCCTTATGAAATAATGGCTCTATTTACATTATTACAATGATTTGGGCTCTTCCTTCTGCATATATGACCCTGATATGAATAACAAATTTTGCTGGACGATTAATTTTCTCAGAAATTATTTTGATAAGCGATAATATTGTCGTTCTGGGATCATTTTCATCTAATACAATGATAATGATGCGGGTACACCTTTTCAAAGGGAAATACACTTTTATTTTTAAAGACCACTGAATATCGCGACAGGCATAGTAGTCGTGTGCTGTCATAGATGCTGTGATGGACTAGTACTACTGCAACTGCTCCCTTCAAACAATAGAAATTCTGAGAAAGAGCACAGGGTCTAAGTTTCTATGGTTACTATGGAAACGCTTTCTGTTAGTAATCTTGTTGCTATGGTCGAGTCCATCCTCACCTCCTCCATCACCGTGTGGTTCGCTGGAGCCACAGTCAGGGACAAACAGAGACTACAGCGCATTGTGCGCTCTGCAGAGGAAGTGATCGGCCGCAGCCTTCCATCGCTGCAGGACCTGTACGTCGCCCGAGCTCGAGGCCGGGCTGGTCGTATCACAGCCGACCCCTCTCACCCTGCACATGGACTATTCCAACCACTCCCCTCAGGCAGGAGGCTGCGGTCCATCAGGACTAGAACCTCCCGCCACAAGAACAGTTTCTTCCCCTCTGCTGTTGGACTCTTGAACACTTCTTAACCTGTCCCCCCGCCCTTTATAAAGTCACTTTACTGCCCATCATACGTCACTTTACTTCACTGTACTGCTGTCACCTTACATTGTGTGCACCATGTGCACTTGTATATTGTAAATAGTAACTGTAACTCTATTTTAAATTTAAATTTATTCTTTAGAAGTGTTTTTTATTCTTATTTTTATTATCTCTTTTTGACTGTTGCACTGAGCCAAAGCAATTTCCAAGTCTGTGACCTCCCGTTACTTACGTTGGCAATAAAAATGATTCTGATTCTGATTCTGATGATACTTGGTTACCATGGCGATGATGTCATAAAGCTTATGACATTACCACAATCTTAAGGTATTCTGTGCAGGTGGCCTGTGTTGAATCATAGGACCAGAGTGTCCATTGGTGTCCAAACACAACACAAGACGACTCATAAATTACTCCAGCTTCAAAATGGAGACCAGGAGAAAAGTGAGAAGGATCATACAACAGGAGAATGAGGACTCTCGACTCGTTGAGAACATAATACGTGAGCATGTAGAGAAGCAGAGGCTGCGATTGCAGCAGGAGGAACTGGCTCAGAGAGAGGCTGAGGCCAGAGACAAATTAAGCCCTGAGGTGAAGCGTGAACTCAAGCAGAAGAGAGAGCAGCAACTTCTGCAGATCCATCTGGTGCGAGAACAGATGAAGACACGCCACCAATGTGGGCAGGAGTCAGAGCACAGGAAGGCCCAGCGCAGGAAGGCCCAGCGAAGGTGGCGGCGTACGGAAAAGTGTTCACAGAACAATAAACGCCTTCTGGAGGAACGGCATAAAAGTCAGGAGCAGGAGGAGAGAGAGACCCAGAAGAAGACAGAACAGGAAGAGTACGAGGGGCAAGTGGAGATGGCCATCCATAGAGCTTCCATGGAAAACCGTATCGCTCTTCCTCTGGGCCAAAGAAACGGTGAAGTCGATAACCGTCTTCACTTCTATAAGGACGGACAAGGCTTCATCGTAAGCTCCAAGAGGAAGTTTGAGCCTCGTCAGTCTTTAATTTTCACTGATGAGACGCCCAAAAAACAGGTGACAGTACCTCAAGGCAACACCGCTCCAAAACCAAAGAGTGTGAAACAAGTAAGAGTACAGGAGCAGAAACAGCCATCCCCCAGTGTTTGTCGAGGGTTAGGGTTAGGACCAGTCGAGAAGTTGGACCAACCCACACCAAAGTTGTTGGCCAAGAGAGAATCTAGGGGGTCAGCTCTTCCTATGAGGTCCATTTTACGAAAGAGTGTGGTCCTGTCAGAAGGTAGTTCCAAGCCTGCTCTGGAACATAAGTGTGAGGAATTGAAATTACCTGTAATTAGTAATCCAAAAAAGAAGCTGAGCATAATCCCAGTTCAGGCACCAACAGGTCAAACCAAGTCTGAGAGAGGCAAACATCCTGCAATTCAGCGTCAGGTGAAGTCAATGACATTGCCAGAGGAGGAGGAAACATGCGGAATTGTGGGCACTGTGAAGGTGGTTAGAATCCCAACCCGGGGGGCAAAGCGAAGCGAAGTCCCAGGTTTGGATCCAGACACATTAGCCGTGATGTTCCATCCACGTCCCCCCATGACACCAAGACAGCCTGGAAGAACCGGAACGTACAGAACCAGCCACACGGTTGTCAGTTTCCCCCAAGGCCTAGCAAACGACTCCAAAGTCCCAAACAAAGTCGCTCCAATCCTCACAACTCCCCAACATGTGAGACGCCACATTAGTCACGTCTCTTTCTTTTAAGAAGGAGCTAAAACTTGGATATAAACAGGTTCGCAAAACTCCCAATTATAAGTGAACTGAAAAGTGTCCAAAAATATCCCCAAAGTGTCAGCAAAGCAACAGAATGTGATTCTATTGTTTTGTCCGTATTCGGCAAACCAACACACACTGACCTCTCAGCCATGAGTTGGAGATTTATAACCTGTGGGTGTGGTTAGACACTACACCCACAGGTTATAAATGGTCTTTCTGTGGTAACCTCTACCCCCATGTCGAGGTGTCTAACCCCCCCTCCCATGGCAAACACAAGACCTGTTTGCTATGGGAGGCCCTACCAGGGTGTGGTTAGACCCCTCATATGGGGTCCACCCATTTTCTTCCGCTTCATCCGTTGCCAGGTTGTGGGGGCAGCAGTCTAAGCAGAGACGCCCGTACTTCCCTTCCCACACACAATTACTCCAGCTCATTGTGAGACCCTGCATTAGTCACACGTCTTTCTTTTAAGAAGGAGCTAAAACTTGCATTGCTACAGGTTTGCTAAACCCCCAATTAGAAGTGAACGTGTCAGTAATGTAACAAGGGCTTGGGATTATGGTCCCAATTCTATGACAGCTCAGGAGTCATCTGTGGGGGTTGGTTCTTTATCCTCTCTGATGGTCCAGTGTGTGTCGTTGGATCAGAATCCAATGACACACACTGACCTCACCTACTGACACTTTTGGGCACATTTAGAGTCACACAATCACACAAGGGACCATCAAACTGCAGGCAAAGCACTGGGATATCTGATCTTGTTGTTTTGTTCATGTTTGTTGATCTGCACATCTGACCTCTCCTCAGAAATGTGTCAAATTATCCCCAAAGTGTTAGCAAAGCAACAGAATGTCTGATTCTATTGTTTTGTCTGTATTTGGCAAACCATTACAATGACACACAATGACCTCTCAGCCGTGAGTTGGAGATTGATAACCTGTGGGCGTGGTGTCCATCTATCCCCCATTTTCTACCCCTAATCCATTTCTGGGGGGCAGAGCTGCACCCAGTACACTTAGCACCAGCCCCTCACTGATCCTCCGGCAGGTGGTGGGTCCACAGGAGGATGGCTTCTCTATGGCGTAGCCTTGATCTTTCGGGCGTGGTGTCTAACATTATAAATGGAGAAACAGAGCTCGGATACAACTTCAGACATTACCCTGTACCTCACAGTCCCAGTCGTGGAAATAACAATGAACAATGACTCAATGACTAGCTAGATTATAAATCCTTAAATTGTAAATCCTGCTTTTAGCTTTGTTACACATGTATATGTTGGATTGAGAAGACCTTTGGCATTAAAAATGTATTTAGTAGTTCTTTGTCCCTGTTGTTTCGGTTACTACAACTGTATACACACAAAATACTGCATTGTATCTATGAAAGTGATCGAAGAAAAGACTGTGGACTGTCAGCATTAATTTCTGCTAATTTCTCAGAAATTATTTCCGATAAGCGATAATGTTGTCGTTCTGAGATCATTTTAATCTAATACAATGATGATGATGCAGGTGCACCTTTTTAAAGGTAAATACACTTTTATTTTTAAAGCCTAGCGTACATCGATAGAGTAACTGGAGACAACTAGTTGCAAGGCGGCTTTTGGCAACTGAGAGGAGACGGTGGGAGATGATCAGTTGCCGAAATCGGTCGATGTGAGCGCTCTCACAACTGGAGATAAACAGTCGATCTCCTGATTCAGTCAGTTTCCCGTGTTCTACTTCTCGCCAACTAGTTGTACTCAGATCCGGAGATATCACCTGATGTGCGTGCTCCAACAACATGTGTTGAGAGTGTAATCATGTGACGTATTGCACGCCCGCAACAGTTTATGTCAGAAAACACACTGTAGTTGCGGCCAGTTGCTGTCGATGTACGCGCTGTTTTTCCCGAGACTGGTCTGCTACTGGGAGTTGCCCGTTTTCGCCAGATTGTCGATGTGTGCCGGGCAGCAACTTATAGGCGACGGATATAATCAGTTGCCAGTCCGATTTACGCTAGGCATAAAGACCACCGCCGGAAGTAGCGGGCGGGCTTTTGCGGCTCTTCGTGTAAAGTTCTTTGCCAAGAATGCAGCTCTGCAGTGTCTCTTTGTCCAGAGACCTTCCAGAGACTTTATATAACAGCAGTATGTGTTCAAAGAGGTGCGCCATAAGTTTATTTTATTATTAAACTGTTCTTGCTCATCGGCAAACACGCTAACGCTAGCTGCGCTAGTTTAGTCACTACTAGGCAAGGCAAGGCAAGGCAAGTTTATTTGTATAGCACAATTCATACACAAGGCAACTCAAAGTGCTGAACAAGATAGCATTAAAATCATAAATAATCACAGAACATTAAAACAAAAGATAAAAATATAAAATCCCTCAGTTGTATGCACAGCTAAACAGAACTGTCTTTAACCTGGTTTTAAACATTGTCAGAGAGGAGGCCTGTCTCACATCTTCAGGAAGATTGTTCCAGATTTTAGCATTATGAATCTGAAAAGCAGCCCCCCATGTTTAGTTCTGACTCTGGGCACTAACAGGAGTCCAGTCCCTGTGCTCCTCAGAGTCCGGGCTGGTTCATATGGTACTAACATGTCACTAATATATTTTGGTGCGAGGCCATGGAGAGACTTGTACACAAGCAGAGCTGTTTATAAAGTCTATTCTCTGAGCCACAGGAAGCCAGTGCAGAGACCTGAGGACTGGACTAATGTGGTCGTACTTCCTGGTTCTAGTCAGGACTCGAGCTGCTGCATTTTGAATGTACTGCAGCTGTTTTACAGCCTGTTTGGACAGACCTGTGAGCAGGCCATTGCAGTAGTCTAACCCAGTGGTTCCCTAAGTGGGGGTCCCGACCCCCCGGGGGGTCACAAGATGATTTCTACACAATCAAAAAAAAAAGATTTTTTTTTTTTTGAGCAAATATAAAGCCCTTAAATATTTATTTAGCATTTGATTTGATTCAAAAGGACTACTTGTTAAATTGTGTTTGGAGACTATAATATATTTTAATAACGTTAGTAATTTTGTCCCAGTCATTGCAGCGTCAATCAAAATCATCACGTAACACAGCTCACATCATGCGCAGCGGCAAAGCGTGTGCTGTTGTTTGCTAAAACTAAAGGTGTTTGGAGGCTACAAATAAATAATACCTGCTTTAAAATGAAACGTGGTTAATATCCACAACAGAAAAACCCGGAGGGGGAGAAAAGTCACTTGTATCAGGGGTCAGGCTGATGGTGCGAAGAGAGGGAGAGAGGGCAGAGGAGGGAGAGAGGGCAGAGGAGGGAGAGAGGGCAGAGGAGGGAGAGAGGGCAGCGAGCGGAGGGAGGGAGGACAGCGGTAGAACAGCGCGTTAAAGAGGCCCGGCTTTTCGGAGTCAAAGGTAAAGAGGTCCGCACATTAAAAGCGGGTGGCAGCTGTATGCTGTTACTGACAGTAACTTTGGAAAGAGAAGCCGCGGGGATGAACCGCATAAAGTAACAGCAGAAGGCGGCCGCCCGCTTTTAATGTGCGGACCTCTTTACCGCTGACTCCGGAAAGCCGGCCCACTTTACCGCGGTAGGAGAACAGTGAGGGCGAGCCGCAAGAAATGCGCTCCACTTCTGCTGAGGAGGGAGCCCACCAAGCCCATCACTGTGTCACTACATGAGTAAAAATATGCAAACCTCCTTTTTTGGGCTGGACAGTGCAGCTCGGTAGTGGCGTGAGTCTCTAGAAAGCGTTACTCCGTATCAAGGAAATACATGCTCATTTCATGTGACTGAAGGGCTGTTGGGGGGGGGGGGGGGGGGGGGGGGTCGCGGGTTAGCAGGGCATTTATGATGGGGGTCGCGGGCTAAAAACTTTGGGAACCCCTGGTCTAACCTACTGGAGACAAATGCATGGATAAGAATCTCCAAGTCTGCTTTAGACACTATGTTTTTGATCCTGGCAATGTTTTTTAGATGGTAAAAAGCTGCTGATGTTACTGATTTGATTTAAAATTTAAGTCTGAGTCCAGTATTACCCCTAGATTTCTGACCTTGTTTGAAGGTTTTAGGGAGAGAGACTGTAGGTGACAGATGACGCTCTCTCTTTGTTAGAGCCTGTACTAGAGCCTGAATGAGAACTCAGGCTGGCATATGTTCACAACTACCGTGTTCCCCATTGTCAATCCTGGTTAAGTCCTGGTTTAGTCCAGATTTAGGTCCTGTTTTGGCTGTATTTTGTATTTTTGAGTTATTTCAGTCTGCTCGCTAGACCGCTAATGTTCCCGTGAACATTTTGCGGCTCTCTGACCTGAGGGAGAGAGAGAGACAAGCAAAACGGACAAGTATGCAAATAGAATTTATCACGGCCAGAAAAATTATTGAGCTAATTTTAATTATCATGCGATTAACTGATTTATTGAATATCGTAACAGGCATAGGTATGAAGCATCTCTGCAGGATCCATTTGTTGGATTGGATAGTGGTTAAGCTTATATATCACTGTGAGGCTTTTCACTTGATTTAATGCGATAAAACTTCTCACGAACAAGTGCAAAAATGCACTTGTTACATTTGGGTTCAATACGGTCACTCAGGGTGTGCGAATCTAGGGAGTTAAGTTGTCAAAAAGTGACATTGTTAGTGCAAAGTTTTAAGTATTATGATTTAACCTCGGTTACAAATATGGTTATAACGGTTATGGCAAAAAAGTATGACTTTTTGGTTTAATGCGTTCACTAATGTATGTACTAAAGAACCCAAAGAAGCTAAGATACTACATTGCCACATTTGGTCAATTTAAAACATACAGACAAATAGCATAGATAATTTTTTTCAACAAACAGTTTTATGTCTGGGTTCTACATTTTAATAGTCATATATTTCCTTGCAGACATTAACCCAAGATGATTTCGATGGACCCAATTTTGTAGATATAGCTCATTATACTTTTATAGGACCTATAAGATGTTTGACAGATCTCTCTTTATTCACAGTTAAATGCAATGACACATGTTCACCATGTACCATGTGAGGGAGCTCTTGCCACCAGTTGCACATACACCAGTTCTGGCTCATGGATTAAAGCACAAGTCATATATAACATGCACTTAACCTACATTATCACATTAACATTACTCCCTTCTATTTGTGAATTGAATTGAAACCGCACGACCTCATGGACTCATACACTAACAACTAAAATAGTTGATAAAGAGGTTTATGTAAAAAAAAGAAGAAAAGAAAAAAAAAGAAAAGAGAAATCTCGTTAACAGAGTGAAGATTGTATTTGAAGGATTTTTACTCAAAAATCCAGGCCGAGCCACGGAGTCCTGATAAACTATAGAAAATCCACAGATGACTGCCGCTTTCTCCTGGCAAAATCCGATATTCTGTCCCACTAATCCCTTGTCACAATCTGCATCCTGTGGCTCTCCCCCACTCTCTCTCCCTCTCTCTGCCTCTCTCTCGCTCTCTCTGCCTCTTTCCTTGTCCCATGTCAGGCCGGGGCATGCTTGATTGGGGGCATACATCCTTTAGCTGCAAACTCTAACAACAACCAAAAAAAACAAGGAGTGATTACAGGTGCACAGATGACAGGAGCGGAGAGGAGGGGGGAAAGTTCATTTTTGGGATTTGACATGTCCTTAATGCGGGGGCCACCAGCAGCAGCAGCGGCAGCAGCAGCAGCAGCTCTGACGGGACCAGTGGTGGGCAGGCGCGGCGTCTGAGGTGGGGGACGTCTGGATGGGAGTCTGGGGACGGCCGTGAGGAAAAGATGCGCCGGCTGTGGTGGATTGTACTGCTGGGTTTTTGGAGCGTTTGTGGAGAGCTTCCCTTCATAGCGGAGAACAACGCGGCCATGCTCGTGAACTGGTGAGTCCTGGACCATCTGTTGATTCTGTGTCTGAAGTCTTGACCCAGTCCAGTCTAAAACCCCTTAACTGGTTTGATTCCCATTTCTTCTTTAATTCAATATAGCCCTAAATCACAACAGTAGTTCTCTCGGAGGACTTAACTAAACCATTGAATTCGCCAACAAATATCAGAGAATCTAAAAGTTCAAAGACAAGAAATGCAATGATAAAAACACATCAAAAAGTTCTTGGTTGGGTTCTTAAGGGGCAGACGACAAATACAATTATTATTATTATTATTATTATATTATTAATTACCACTACAGTTTGGCCAAGTTCCAGCAGGGGGGATCAGAAGGTCAGGTATAGCCTGTGAGCGCTAGCCAGATCTATTCCTGGCTTGTTAAACAGGGTTTGTTCACAAGATTAGCAATGCTAATTAAGGCCATGTTGTGTCCACCCACCTGAGCTGATGCACCAGAACATTCAGCAGGCTTATTACATGCATTAGTATGAGTGGTAATTGGTATTGTAACAACAAAAAACGTATAATTAATCTTTATCATGCTTAAGTTAGAGATTGTATACTGGCTTATTTTTTTTCCAAAATTAGAAATGTTAGACTTGCTTCTTTTATTTTTAGAGATTGTCTTGCTTCTTTATTATGTTAAAGTTAGAGATTTTATTTTATTTTATATATAGACTTGTATATTCACTTAATTTGTGCTGAGTGCTTCTCATTCCTACTGTTCTGTAACTGGTGATGCAACCCTTAGAATTCCCCACTGTGGGATAGATAAAGGATGTCTTCATCTTGACCTTTTTAATCCTTTAGGTGCCAGAGATTTTAATACATTTTATGAGAAACAGACAAAAAGTGGAGACCCTAAACTTCACAAGAGACAGAGTGTTCCTGATATCAAAAACAGAATACAAAAAATATATATATATTTTTTTTAAATGTAGGGGAACCGGGTCTCTGTATAAAAAGTGATCTGGTTTCAGGAGCTCATAGCATTCGAGTTAGTTTGGCGCCAGAGGGTAATGTTATTTGACAGTCCTGAATTCAATTCCACCTCCCAGACAACACGTTTCAGAGTGGAGTTTGCATGTTCTCCCTGTGTCTGTGTAAGCTTTGCTCCAGTTACCACTAAAATATGTACAATAAACCAGACCCGGCTTCTGCTACCTGTCTGGGGCCAAGATTCATCAGAAAATTTAATTTGAAATAGTTTTGAAATAAACGTCAACAACAATCTAATTTTAATTAAAGAAACTGTTTACAAGTTGTATAGTATTGCCCCGGAAGTTTTTGCCAATCTTGGAGCAACAATCATGAGAAAATTATGGATAGTAATGAAAAGTAGTAAAGCGTGTTGTGTTAGTGTTTAATATTTCACACCGTTCACACATTATAAATTGTGCAATAACTTAAAAGATCAAATTAAAATATAATTGTATATACTGTAACAAATAAGCCAATTCAAAATACAAGAGTTTTTCTGTTGTGCAACTTGTTGAGCATCGGATCGAAAAATATTCAGTCGCTTTGCTGTGCTCAGCTGAGGTTTAAAAGCAAAAGGTTTTAATGCCGTTTCGTGTACATTATCCCATCTATTCCTGGCTGATATGGGATAAAGCCATATCCCAGTATACATTACAGATTTCTAGAGGCTTCCCCCCCCCCAGTCATAACCTCATACAGACCCGTTGCAAGTGTATTACCATAGTTTTTTTACATAACAGATTTAAGCAGATGCAGCCCCCACGTGTTGCTGTCCCGTCGTCCAATCAGGGCACGGCGACGTCACAGCGTAAAAGCACAACTTGATGGGTGGATTAACTCTACAGGCCCGATGGTTCAGACCACGGATGAGTGATTTTTTCCCCCCCTCTTCCATCTCGACTTTAGACAGCTGGCTATGTGTGGGAGGCCTTCTCAAATCCTCATTCATTGTCTCTATCCAGCTTGATTTGAAAACATATACTTTCGCACACAATCTCTGGACTAAAGTAGGGTGAAGACAGGACAGGGAAAAAGTGGGGTAAAAATGAGAGATGGAAAGTGTACTGTACATGCATCGATATTAAGGCTCAGTGACTATTTTTTGTACTATTATTTCTATGTCATTATTATTATTATCCTTTTTATTATTATAAAACTAATTGATTATTGTTTTTATTAAATCATCTTTTATTTTTGAAATGTGAGTACAAATTTAGCCATTTTCAGTCACTTGGCAACCAACCTGTCTCCAAGGTGCAGGTCCTGGTCCTGGTTCTGGTTCAGCTCTGTTTTCTACCAGAGCAGAGCCTGTGCTAGTTACCGTAGCAACACACCGTTTCCTTGCAGTCGTTAGCATTAGCCTCTCAACAAACTGTTTTTGCTGCTGTTTTATTGATGTATGTAAAAGTAAAAAACAAAACAAAAAAATACATGAATGACTGAGCAATTTGTTAAAAAGATTTTTCAGAATTCTGTTCCCTCGAATGGGGGCCTGCTCTGGAAGTCCGAGTAGTTTCAGAATTCCTTGTGTTAACTCCCTGCCTGATGTTAACCAGTTAGCTCTGTTAGCATAGCATCACTAGCATTGTTCTAGATATCTCCCAATTAGCCATTGCTTTAGCTTTAGCCTGAGCCCAGATCCAATTGCAACGCAGCAATAGTTTACCCTCGTTTAATGGAAGCTCAAACTCAGCCGCTGGTGTTTGGGCGCCTACTTCACATTAGACCAGACCTGTGCCTCCGTCCTGTACCTCTGCTGGTGTAGATGTCCTCTGTCCCGGCCGTCTGTCCGATCAGGTGGTACTGGTTCAGCCGGGACCCCTCTTCTGCCACCACCACAGACTTGGCTGCTCCCTCAGTCCAAATGTAGACCACCTCCGACACCGGGTACGCATCTGAGAGCAAGAAATAATTGTCAGAGAACAGGGCTTTCTCATCAGCTGTTGTGGAGATCCATGGGAACAGAGCTGTAGTTTGTGTGGATTTATTTAAGATTAAAAAAAAAAAACTTTAAAAAAACATACAAATCAGGCATTGCACTGGAGAAAAAGTCTGCCCACCCCCCTTTGGACACTTCACCAGTCTAGATTTTCTCCAGGCTTTCTCACAGGTGCTGCTTACCGAGTTGATGTTTTACGCTTATAGTGGATTAGTCATAGAGGCCAATAAAGAGCCTCTGATACAATACACTGCAAAAAGTGATGACAAAATAGTCAATAATTGCTCCTCATTTGGCAAAATGTATCATGATTTAAGCACATTTTTACTGCCTTAAAACAATAGTTTTTAAATCAAACAGGTTCTATTGTCTGGGATAATAGATAAATAAAATAATAATATATTAAAATAACAACTCTTGAGCTGTAGTTCAATTTCACTTGGTTCAAGTGGAGTGTACACTGTAGTCAGCAGGACGTTAGCAGCAGAATATGACCAGAGTAAACAACACTAATAATAGCAGCAGGTAAAGTGACTAGTGAATTATAATAACACTGCAAAAAGTGATGAAAAATAAGTAAATAAGTAAATGTTCCCCTAATTTGAGCACATTTTGACTGCGTTAAAACAAGATTTGCCAATTGGACAAAGCAAAATGATCTTGTTTTAAAAAGATACAAGAAATGTCTCCCTTGGAATGACAAATATAAAGCAACAGTTGTTGAAATAAGACTAAACACCCTTGTCCCGTTGGCAAACCTTGTTTTAACACAGTCAGAATGAACTCAGATTAATATAAAAACCACTCGATTACAGCAATACCTCATATTTTATCATTTTTTGCAGTGTGGCACGTGTACAGACTCAGCAGTTCTCGTTGGAAACAGTCTGAAGAGAATTGAAAGGAGTTGAAAAGCATGACATCATAGGGTCGGGTCTCTCTGATGCTCGCGGCGTTAGCCCCATCACTTGACCTCTCGCCCACTTTGCTTCATTACAGCCAGATTAAGTTGTGTCAGTGCTCGGAGCGCCGCTGTTTGGGCCTGGTGTAATCACAATATACAGATGTCGCTCTCCACACACAAGTGTGAAGCCAACACTGTCGGGGAAAAGCCTGGGCTGGATTAATGTGTTTCTTATGGAAAGGGTTGCGATTAACGAGTGTCGGTGTAAATATAATACATTAATGCATTTCTGAGAGGCCTGTGTTTTAGAACCGCACGTGTAGAAGAGTGACGCGGCGGAGCTGGGTATGGGTGACCAATCATATGACAGCATTAATCGAGGGTGAGAGGCTCCGCTGCAATTTAGAGTGACCTCAGTCCAGTCTGGATTATAATCTCGCCCTCTCTACATTGTCTCACATCACTTTGACAACAGATGATGGCAGAAGCAGGATTTCTTCTCTGACTCTTGTAATATCGTTTAATAATAACGAGTTTAGTAATATCGACACAGCACAAGATCAATGAACAATAACTCTATACTAAATGAAATAAAAGCATAAAAAATAAGCAAGTATATATAATCCCCATTATTAGCGTAATAACCAGCATTTCACATTTAAATGTCATCGCAACTGGATCCAGCCTCGCCTAAACCTGAGAGCTGTGCATCAGGTCAAAGGATTGAAGACAGCAGAGAACTCTGTCACGGAGACTTCAACCAAGCGGACACTGTGGTCGTTTGGACAAGAAATATGAAATATCAAAGGCCATATGACAAGTACATTTTTTACACACGCCATGAAATTCACAATAATTACACAAGTAGTACTGTAGAGATCTCGAATGGGAAACTAATTTAGTAGACTGTATTGGGAAGCATATTAGTAGATGTTTTCTTTTCATCCAATGTCTAACCAGGAAGTAACATTGACCAAACTTTAAAAGCAATACATGTTTTAACAAAGACATATTACACATTCACGTACAGTACATTCCCATTGCTGCCACCAGAGCGTAAAAAATGACCTGCCAAAACTAATATATGTGCAATACTTATGTTCTAAAAGACAGAAAACAGTGATAGTGGTACAATGACATCACACTGTCAAAGGGATAAGGAAGCAAGTCTGAAACCTCCAACTTTTGCATAATGAAGAAGAAAGAAGTAAGTACATGTGATGTCATAGTGGTACAATGACATCACACTGTTACAGGACTGAGACAGGAGCTTTAGGTCAGAAGGGGCGGAGCTACATGTTTGTGCCAGAAGTTTCCGATATAAAGAGAGAAAAAGTACATTTGAGTAAAGTAAAAGGTAAACAGTCCAATTTGCCATATTACAGTTAGAGGATATTTTACATGGTCAGCTGAATGCAATTATTGGCCTACTTGCATGCAAAAGCCAGATCACGTCAGACCTCAGCAGCTGTGCAGGGCAGGGCCTGGTTAGTACAGTGATGGGAGACCTCTGGTAACAGCAGGTGCCACAGTGGGGCGGCTATGGCCAAACTGATCGTGTTCTTAGTCAAGACCCTTCACCAGCATTGTCTAGAATGAGTCTGGTGTGTGTGTGAATGGTTGGTGGAGGTGGTCTGAGGGGCCGATGGCACATACTGGTTTCCTCGCCTCTGTCAGTGTGCCCCAGGGCAGCTGTGACAACAATAGTAGTGTATCACCTCTGTGTATGGAGTGAAAGAATAATAAGTGCTATTAAAAACCGATGTATTATTATAATTTGTTTTTGTTTTGTTGTTCAAAACACTTCCCAATGGCAGCAGTCCGAGCAGATCTGCACATCCAGAGGTGTTCCCAGAGACATAAGTCCATCCAGCGTGTTGTATTTCCTGGGTCTTCCCTAGGGTTAGGAAGCATCAGCGGCTCTACTCAGAGCTCCTACCCTGTGACTGAATTCTTGGGAGCGCCCAGTTTTATATTGTTAATGCACGTCAGTTATAGTTATTGTTTTGATATTAGATTAAGACTAAGAGAGATTCTTCATTTCTCTGCTGTAATGTGCGCAACGATGACACTGACATTTACCCGCTGTGGGACAAATGAAGGAATATCTTATCTTTGTCCCTCAGTGGGGAAATGCATCAACCACAATAACTCTTTACTAGAATAAAATAAAATAAAATCATTAACTAGCATAAAAAGTAGCAAGTAAATCTGTACATTTAGTATAATAAGGAAAGAAATCTAAAATCTCCAGCGTTAACATAATGAAGAAGCAACTTAAGTCCAAAATCTCTGACTTTAGCAAGATAAAAATCAAGTATAAAATTCTGTATATTCTAGTACAATAAATGTATTATTGTGTGTTTACATCTGTGCATGTTGGCGACAGGAGGGTCTGGGACAACGTGACTCAGTAAAATGACAATAACAAATGTGGTTTTGACATTTACAACCATTCATTTTCAATAAACAAGACGGATAAATAAACCATTCAATTTAAATGCAGCAATATGTTGTGTTTTCTGTTAAAAACCTTTATTTTTACAGAATCGTATTGTACCGTTGTGGATAAAAGAGATAAGATTTAATTCTTGTTGATCAGTTTCACAGTGACAATTATTTCTTATTTTTAGCTTGTTTTATGTGTATACTTTTCTGGTGCACCCTGTGGAATAAACTGAGTAAGAACTTGTATCTCATTGGAATTCCCTTCTATATCGAGATAGATATTGTATCGTCGGGCTTGTGTCGATAGAAGTTACCTGAATTGCACTTTTGGCTTTGAAACCCGGAGGATCCTCCACCATATGTCAGTGAGAGATCAGAGAGAGCACGTCACAGCAGGACGCCCTCATAATCTTACCCTGACAGAGCTCCAGGGTATTTCTGTCCCGTGCTGACAGAGACCAAACTAGCTTAAAGGACAGAGGGAAGACCGGCCGCACACTCGCCCCACAGAGGGAGGAGGCGGACCCAAATCAAACTGAGAAACAGATCTGTCTGAGTTAAACATGAGCCTTTATTACTATTGTTAATATCTTTTCATTTTCTCTCTCTCTCTCTCTCTCTCTCTCTCTCAAAAAGAAGAAGATAGACGATGTACTTTAGGGATCTCAATGGAGAAATTTTGGTCGATGAATACACTACAAGGCATGCAGTGTAGTACTACTTTCACGCTCCTTGTAGGCAAAGTGGGGTAAAGTGTCTTGCCCAAGGACACAACGACAGTGGACATCAGTGGGAGTCGGTGGAGAGGGTCTCTCGGTGGGCGCGAACCCAACTGAGCCACTGCCACCCACAATGCGCTAGAAACGGCAGCAAGTCCTGAGTAGCTCTGAAACAGTTGTTGTTTCGTGTTTAACAATTTTTATTTTCATCGCTTTTTGAGATGTTGCAGCAGAATAGTGTTCATCGTTCTGCACTGGTCCAGACCAGAGCGGAGGGGATTCCTGGTCCAAAACAGGCAGATCAGGCGAAAATCCACTGAAGGAAGGCTAACTTTTTGAAAAAGGCTAACAAAGCCTTTTTCAAAAAGCATTTTAGAGAATATGGTCCGAACCAAGCGGCTCCACCTTTGCTGCTGTTGCATTTTACTATTACTATTGTTAATCGAGTGGTTTCAAGAATTGCCAATGGGACAAAGCCATTTAGTCTTATTTCAAGAAAAGTTGCTTTGTTTTCTCTTTCCAAGGGAGACAAGTCTTGTATCCCTTTAAAACAAAATCATTTTGCTTTGTTCCATTGGACAATCTTGTTTAAGACAGTAAAATGTGTTCAGATTAAGAGCCAAATTTGAGCCATTATTAAATTTATTTTTCATCAATTTTTGCAGTGTCTGTGTGACTATGATTATATGTCTTTGTGAAGCACTTTGGCACTTTGTCTCCACAACACTGAGTCATTTGTGCACATCATTGCAGCAGTTTCTCCTTTGAACAAATGTCAAATGCTTTTGGACATGTTTCAGTTACTTTCATACAATTCTATGCTGTTTTTAAAACATTATGAAGCTGAAGAGTCATTCCCTATAAAAACTAACAGTCCTCATTTTATAGCGTTACAGTCATTATTTATAGCGTTATAGTCATTACATACAAAATTGTTGAACTAATTCTCAAAATGTGTTGCCTTTAAGAGAAGACGCTATGATGTAGATGAAAATATGTGACAGACAGGCAGAAAGGCGTGGCAGTCCAGGAATAATGTAATTTCAGTTTACAGTAATATGTACTGTTATTATATTTGTGCACACTTCTATCATAAAGATATTTCTTATGTTTATTCTACGTAAATACAGTAAGTGACTGCATTTATTTGCACAACGTTGTAGAATTCTAAAGAGCAGATGCAGTAAATATGTGAAATACATACTGTACATTGGCGGCACGGTGGCTGAGTGGATAGCACTCTCGCCTCTCAGCAAGAAGGTCCTGGGTTCGAATCCCGGTCGGACCAGGGCCTTTCTGAGTGGAGTTTGCATGTTCTCCCCGTGTCTGCGTAGGTTTCCTCCGGGTACTCCGGTTTCCCCTACCGCTAAAAATATGTAAAATAGTTCTGGCATGCGCCTCCTGTACTGGCGATCCCACTCCCATCTCTGTGTGGAGTGAGAGACAAGTGCCCAAAAAAATTAATAACAATTGTAAACCGCTTTGAGACTCAGCTCTGCAGTGAAAAGGCGGTATATAAATAATTACTTACTACTACTACTACTTACATACTGTACATACATTACATTCATATGTGTCACTAAATACAGTGATGTGTCACTTTACTATAGTTTTTGGCTGTACCGTGTATACCGTGAACTTTTGCTTTATTTTCTCATTCCAATAGAGGTCTTTCTTGTATCTTTTTTGTTGTTGTAATAATTTTGCTCAAATGAAGATACATTCTGCCAAAATTGAGATTGTTTTTTTTTCCATAACTTTTTGCAGTGTATTTGGATTGTTGCGGTCATACAGTATTCATGCATGTGTGGCCGTACTATTTTTACTCCCTGTCTCAGCTGCATACATACCTGCCCAGTATAGTTGCGGTTACCTTGGGCTCCTACAGATACTTTGTGTGTGTGTGTGTGTGTGTGTGTGTGTGTGTGTGTGTGTGTGTGTGTGTGTGTGTGTGTGTGTGTGTCTATGATAACCCCCCGTAAAGCAGAGGAGGATGCAGCCGATCTGACACCATGGTTAATAGTTTCATCAGTGGCACTGTGTCACAGGCCTCTCAGAGATCTCTCCTGCCAGTACCGACCCCCCACTGGTCCTGGGGGACACACACGCACCTGCCCTGAACAAGGTGAACCCTATAGCGTAGCATAGCGTAGCATAGGGTAATTACTTGACTTTCATTATGGTCACGTCGATGGCCCCAATGACAAAGAACAACACACTACTGGCTGTGGCTGGATGTGTTTAAGTGGCTTTAAATGGGCTCTGATTGACCTTCTGCTCGGTTAATGTGATACTAATGATGTACCAGAACAAATAAGGACTTAGCAGAAATAAGAAGAATAAAGTTAATATGTTTTCTCTGCTTCTGGAATAAGAGATCGTATTGACTTTACAATAAACAAGTGTATTACAAAGCCACAACACAAGTGTGAGAGGAGCGGGAGATTGCCTCATTGTCCTGTTAATCTGTTAATTTGTTAATCCAAATTTGAGGAATTTTGTACTTATTTTTTTGTCCCTTTTTGCAGTGCAGTAGTTCATGTTGCTGGAATGTTCTACCATAATGATATTTCTTATGTTTTTTCTATGTAAATACAGCAACTGACTGTATTTTTTTGCACAATGCTGTAGAATTGCGAAGAGCATATGCAGTAAACATGTAAAACACATCCGCAGGTTATTCACAAGGTTTTGCAGTTTGTACTAGTTGATCTGAGAATTGCACTAACTGTTGTGCAAATGTTTATAGTGATGTGATAAATGCACCAAAGCGATGGATAAAAACTGATCATCATCAAACAAATCATTTTCAGCCTTTTTTTTTGTAATCATCATTTGGTTTGGTCACCTCTGTAGACGTATGGCCTTCAGTTCTATCACACCTGTTTCCATGTTGAACAACTATAACATTAAAAGTACTGATATCTATGACAATAATAAACCTATTTATGTTAAAATGAACTCACAGCTCCCAAACTTGAGCGGACAGGCGTGAGCGTCCATGGGGAAGTCCTCCAGCTGCATGGGGCACTCCGCAGAGATCGTCAGCCTGAGAAAATGACACACAATTACTTTCATAACAATGAGGAAGAGACTGTGGGGGAGAGCCAGGACGCACTGGAGGGACTGTGTCTCAGCCGGCCTGGGAACGCCTCGGGATTCCCCTGGATGATGGGAGCACACTTCAAAAAGTAAAATAATAGTCCAAAATTGCTCAAATTTGGCAGAATATATGTTATAGCTAAATGGCTTTGTCCCATTGGAAAGTCTTGTTTTACGACAGTCACAATGTACTCAAATTAAGATAAAAACACTCGATTCAAGAAATTATTACCTCATATTTGTAGTGTGCCCCTCTGTGCAAGTGCATGAGAGCCACATGAGTATTTGGTGCAAAGCATCATGGGATCTCGTCCACGGCGCAAAACTGGGAGGACCAGAGAAATCACCGAATATGAGTTCGGCTAATCTCTCGGTGCCCTGGTGGCACCATAGACTGGTGGCGGTGTCGGTGGCACATACGCCACTGAGCACAAGCCACTGATTTGAACAGGGCGCCTTCTTGGATCGCAGGGGCTTGGTTGTGACCCGGAAACCGGTGAAGACACATTGAGGCCTTCAAACAGACCTTCAAACAGCTCTGTCCTTCAGTCATATAGTATAGTTTGAAAACAGAACATTTGGGCAGAAGGGGTGGGGGGATAGACCCTTAGTGTTAGCCTTAACAAGAAAGAAGACGGTTTTATAACATGAGCTAGCTGAAGCCAATTTCCTTATATGGAAATTGTGTTGCTAAGATGGTTACTAAGGCCAGCTGGAGTTTCAATCAGAGGCTGAAGGCTCTGATTGGTCAATCTTTATACGGCTCACATCTGGATTTACAAAGACAATAGAAACAATCACAGAGAGCGCTAAACCCTGGATTTTTAAGCCCAAAATTGTGCGTGTGACACAAACAATTATTGAGCTAGAGGAGTTTACTATACGATGTAAGTCGATAAGAGCCAGAGAGAGATGGAGAAAACTTGAGCATGAGCACTTCCTTATTGAGGTTCATTAAGTTAGCAAGTTAGCATTGTCCATCTGTATACGTCTCTGGAGGACGGGATTCCTATTTGTGCGGGGGAATGTCTAACAGTTGCGTGAATGAGATAAAAAACAACCCCAAGTCTGGTTTTAATGTGGGTTTTAATAGATTCTTGCATTGTATGTCTCCTTTAACAATAGCTAACTCGATAAGCCTTTAATGAACTCAATGAGGCACTATCATCGCCTCCATTAGCGGCATGATCCCTGCTTCAAACCTGATTACAACTCATTTATTCCATTTACATGTGCTCAGTTTAGCGCAGCCACCGAGCCACAAATACAACAGTTTGTCTTCATTAGGCCAACGACAGGAGAAAAGTGCAGTCTCCCCCAGAAGGGAGGAAGAAGTGAGGGAAGGGGAAGCGGATGAGAAGAGATTGTGTACACACCATCGTGTCACCACCGTTTTGAGTAGTTTTATTTTCTCAAAGTCTGCAAATGTTTCCAGTCTGGGCTAGAAAATGGCCAGATCTGTCTTCTTTACCAGTAGAAGAGGGTGAAAAGACCAGGTTTAGATTAAACGCAAGGCAGAAACAGACCTCCAAGTGCAAAGTTTCACGCTTTTGAATGTGAAATTAGAATAACCCTTTAACAACTAGATTCTCTGATCTGTTGTTGGTGAATCGACAGCTTTGTAAAGTTTTTTGAGGCAACTGCTGCTGCTGTGTGTGTGTGTTCAAATTTAATGTCTGCTGACTTTACAAAAAACACATTGAATTTAATAATTTTATTTAGTTTGTTATTTCATCAAAAACGAATTACTACTATATACTTTAATGGAGTAAGACCGCCCTCTACTTGTAACACTGTGAAACAACACCAGAGTTTTGGGATAAAGGATAAAACCAAAAAAATAAATTGGTTCTACTGCAACTTGCGGGACAGGCTGACCGCAGGTTTGTGTTAGGACTCCCTCTAGTGGCCACATTGTGTAACTGCACTAATGTTAACAAGTAAAACTTTATGGTGCAGTATGGACGGTACAATTTAGATAATGCTTTGCAGTTTTAGAAACGTCTTAGATATAATTCAGATATAAACACATTGGCAATTTTTGAAGAAGAGAATTTTAGCGCTGCTTCACTGGCGTTTAAGATTAAGATTAAGAGATACTTTACATGTTGTAAAGTGGGGAAATTTCATTGTTGCATTACCAGTTGCATTGCAGTAAAATTGATATATTCGACCTGCAAGAGCAAAAGTGTCTAACATGGAAGCAGCAAAGATCCTACACATTTGACAAACAAATATCATGACAATTATGTCCCCCAGTTAAATTATCAACGACATTAAGACTTTTCTATTTCTATGCATCACGTATTCAGCAAGTTTGAGTGCAGTGATATTTGAACAGTTTCCCTTAGCTATGTATTTATATATAGAATGACCTTATAATTCCGTATTCCAAAGATACAGATGCATACAGAACTTACAGACCACACACATGATGTATAGAGCCAGGACCACTGACAAAAAAGGTCAAAATTGTCGCAGATTTGGTAAAATGTATCTTAATTTGAGCACATTCTAACACGAATTGCCAAAGGCAAATGAGAAAATTAAGCAAATTTTTTTTATTTGTTTTAATTTAACAAAAAAACCTTGCAAAAATTGAATTGAAAAGAAACCCATTACATTTCCATGGTCACATGACCGTTGGAATTAAATGCCCCCTCCCACCCCAGACTAGATTTAAATAAGACTAAATGACTTTGTCCCATTGGTAAATCTTCTTTTAACACAGTCAGAAAAAAACAACAAAAAAAACACTTGATATAGTAAGTAAGTAAACAAGTAATGTTTATTTATATAGCGCATTTTACAGACCAAGGTCACCCAAAGCGCTTTACAATGTTCAGAGTTCAGATATTGTTCCAATCATTCCACACACGGTGATGACGGAAGCGTATATACAAGCATTTATTACCTCATTTGGTATTATTTTTTGCAGTGCATGAACGCACAACTACTGTATAACAACGTATAGAAAGACACAGATAAAGACACAGAGTAGAGTCTCTGGGACCAGTGTCGAGAGGAAGCGTAAAGATTGCTGCACGGTTCTTCAGAGGATTTGTGAGTGAGACCATCTGGCTTCTCCTCCACACATCCAGAGCAGGATTACACCACGCATGGGTAAATATAGACACAATCTGTTTTCCTCTATACCACTATTTTAATGCACACGTCATCCATGCGTTGTTCTGTCTCATATCTTTACCTATTAGTGCGTAACCGGCCTGGAAATGCTCCCTCTTGTGGCCGATGGGTGTCACTACTAAATTAGGAAATGACCAGGCGTATGCAAGTTTGTGGTTATAGTGGTGAAACGGCAAAAGCTTAATTAAGATGAAGAGATGTTTGTGTCAGGCTTTTTTGTATAGCACATTTACAACAACACCAGCCACCTATAGTGCTTCACTGGCACAGAATATGTAAAAACAGCACAAAATACACACAAATACATGTAAAAAGTAAAATGGTATAATTCTATGGATGTTAAAAGCCAATGTGTAAATCTGTGTCTTTAGACTATATATAAAATCCTCCAATAAAGAAGAACCTCTAATGTACACTGATAAACTATTCCACAGTTTGGGAGAGCCTTTATTCATCCCACAGTGAGAACAATGTCAGAGTTGCATCAGCAGTTAGAGCATGAGGAGCACACAACACAAGATAAATAGACAAAAACTCTATACTAAAGTAAAATAAAATCTCTAGCTTTAGCATAATAAAGAAGCAAGAATAAAATCTCTAGCTTTAGCAAATGAGAAGCAAACTTGAAATCTCATATTTAGCACGATAAAAATGAAAGTGTAAAATGCCGTATAATCTAACACAGAGCCTGAAACATGTTGTATGTACACATCTGCACATGTGAGCAGCATGAGGCTCTGGGAGAAAGTGACGAATGTGATTCTGAGATTAATTCCTTCATTTGAAGTTTTGAACCAAACTCAAAATTCACTGTACGAGCAGGATCAGATTAAAATGAAACTATTCTCACGAAGCAAATACAGAATAAGCATTGTTCAGAGAAAGGGGGGAGAGAGAGAGGGAGGAAGGAGAGACAGGGGGGGAGAAAGAGGGAGAGGGGGGAGGGAGCTTTGGAGGTGATTGCTCGAAATTGGTTAAGGTGAGGTCTCAGGCTTCAGCGTGTGAGAACAACACAACCAGTGCCACGCTCTCTCTCTCTCTCTGCATAAACAAGGAACATTATGTGATTGGTCAAACACAGTTATCATCACTGTGAATAATGGAACCCTCCGAGCAAAAGGCACTCTTGCACCGCAGTGTTTTACAGATTTATTTACACATGTATACATACAAGAATATATATCTTGCACTAGAAGAATATTTTATACTTTGCTACATTAAGATAAAGATAGATTTTTGCTTTGTTTACAGTACACACTGCAAAAAGTGATTTTTGCAGTGTGTACTGTAAAAATACACACTGCACTTGGTTATAAGTCACGCAAAAAAAACCTAGCCCAGTTCAAATTTGACAACATGCATTTTAATGTGAGCATATTCTGACTGCCCTAAAACCAGATTTGTCAGTGGGACAATGAGCAATATGATCTTGTTTTAAAAAGATACAAGAAATATCTCCCTTGTTATGAGAAAATAAAGCGACTGTTCTTATCCCATTGGCTTAAGACTAAAACTCAGATTTAAAAAAACTTGATTTAAGCCTTGATTACCAAATATTTTACATTTCTTTGCACTGTGGGGCTGTGTGCTCCTCATTCCTACTGTTCTTTTGTGATGCAACACACATAAAGAATCTCTTCATCTCTGCGTTGATCGTGCCGACACAGAAGTGAACTGGCTCTTCCTGTTATTCTTGAGATATTTGTTGCATTATGGGACATTTGCAGCGTTTATAGTTATTGTATTTATCAATACTTGTAGATAATTATCCATATTATAATTGTCTACACTTCAAAATCC